GCCAGGTGCGGTGGTGCATGCCTGTCATCCCAGCGGCTCTGGAGGCTGAGGCAGGAGGCTCCCCAGTTCAAAGCCAGCCTCAGCAAAAGCATGGTGCTAAGCAACTCAGTGAGACCCTGTCTCTAAATAAAATACAAAATAGAGCTGGGGATGGGGCTCAGTGGTCGAGTGCCCCTGGATTCAATCCCTGGTACCTCCCCCCACCAAAAAAAAAATAAAGATTGGCTATAACATAGGTTTTGGTCTCCTGACAGTCCTAAAATGGCATCATCCTCCGGGTCCTGAGTGTCTTTTATGTGATGTTTGTGACCACCTGGAATGGATTTGCTTGATGGGAGATCCTAGCTCACTTCTAAGGGCTGTGAACATCTAACACAGCTGTTCCATCTTCATCCCTCTGTGGAAAAAGTTCTGCAGCTGAGTGAAAGGAGCTGGGGAGCTTAGCCTCTCTGAGCCTCAGCTTCCTCTTTGCTGAGGAGCACTGTTGGAATGGAATTGTTCTGAGAATTCCACAGAAGATGTACATTTAAAGCACTTAGCTGTGTGCCAGGCTCCTAGCAAGTACTTAAGCAATGGGAGCTGTACTCTTGTAGTTATTTTAGACTTCCCAACTCATCTGATCTGTCAGCGTCTATCCATGAAAGAAATCATAAGCCAAGGAGATGTCCTTTCTTCCAGGTCACCCAGCTCCATGATAAGGGGCAGGGCTGGGCTCCCCTCTGGGTCTCCCTATTTCGGGCTGTCTTTCTTGATTTACTCTAGGTCTTCATTTGACTCCCTGGAACTCTTCAATAAATCATAGCTTTAGGGTCTTTCACCTTTGCCCTCTCTGCTGGGATCTCCACCCCCAACACCCTTGACCTGCAAAATATCCTGTGAACATGCTCCCTGCCTGCCTGCCTCCTGGAGGCCACAGCTGCTGCTCTTTCTAGAAGATTCTCCCTTTCTCTCTCTCTTTTTTGGCACACCAGGGATTGAACTCGGGAGCATTGACCACTGGGCAACATCTCAGCATTATTTTGTATTTTATTTAGAGACAGGGTATCCCTTAGTTGCTTAGCACCTCACTTTTGCTAAGGCTGGATTTGAACTGTAATCCTCCTGCCTCAGCCTCCAGAGCTGCTGGAATTACAGGCATGTGCCACGGCACCCCACCTCTCCCTTTTTCTTTATCCATGGTTGGCTCCTAAAGCTCAGGGCTCTTTAAGGAGGGATACTGGACGATTCTCCTAAACCAAGTCATGTCCCTCCCCACTCTCTCTTGCCCTCCAGCTTAGATCCTTCGCCCATGCTTCCCTCCATTTGATTCTTTTCTTTTGCCTGTCTCCTTTACTAAATACAAGCTCTAATAGGACACAGAACATCTTTTCTGCCTATTGCTGTGTGCCCAGTGCCTAGCACGGTACCTGACACAAAGTTGTTCAGTAAACATATTCCAGGTGAATGACTGATTGATTAAATGAATGAATGAATGAATGAATGAGTGAGTGAATCCCAGAACTGGTTGATTGGTTCATGCCTGGGTTAGAACGGAGGAAAGCGTTTGAACTTTCTGGGAGAGCTACCTGCGCACCTGCTCGCCCCCCTTCTTGGCTTCCTAAAAGAACAGCGCGAGGCTATCCACAAGACTCAGACCTTTCCAAACGAGCTTCCCACACAAAAGCACATCTTGCACTCAACGGAAATGGGCGGATACTTGCTAATCGCATCTTCCAACTGGGCTGATCTTTGAAAAGTTCGAGAGGCGCCTGCCTCCATAAATCCCAGACTGCTACCACTGCCGAGACTGCGGAGGGAGGAGAGGAGGGTGCGCTTGGGCGCTTCTCGGGCTGGCACGAGGAAGCCACATCTCATCCTCCCTCCTCCCCCAACTCCTCTCCAAGAGAGGAAGCAATGCAGATGGAGACGAGAAATAAATATTCCTGCCTGCTCGGTGCCACTGCAGACGTTTTCCAAAATGTCTGGCTTGGACCATGAAATCAAGCCCGCCCAGGAAAGGAGGCGCTCAGCAGGAGAAAGAGGGGGAAAGGGTGGCATATTTGTCGATGCGCGTCAGCTTTCTGGGGGGCAGAGCACATGGCTCATACTTGGCAGGCCTGCTGAGGTGGGGACGTGGTAAGTGCACAGTAATCCTTGAAGAATGGCATCAGAGATGGGAGCGAGATTAAGGGCATCATGCCCACGGTGGGTGGGCAGGTGCGCAGGGTCTCTGCGGCGCTGGTCCAGGGTCCTAGGACCCCTCGCTGGTTCTTGCGTGGGTTTCAGATTCTTTCTGCGATACCTGCTCCTTCTGCCCCGGTCCTGCTGACCTCCACTCCACTCCTGGGGAGTCAACCCAACTGGGCTGTGGGCAACCTTGAAAGGCCCCCTGAAATTTGGGCAGGAGCTCAGAATCCATGTGCCACCTCTGAGCACAGCTCGCCTTCTCTAATACTGGAATTCTGGCAGGAGATGAGAACATAGGCTGCAAATGAGAAGTGGGTGCTTTTGGCCCCGAGGTGGCCAAGTGTGTGGGAGAAGTGTCACTAAGAAGGGAAGTTACAGGCCCAGCAATAGGCACCCAAGTGTTCGGCATTACCGAGCCTTCGCTAGGCAGGCTGCGAGACTGCAAAATGACTCAGAGAAAGGGAGAGGAGGGGATGGGACTTTGAGACCGAGAACTCCGGCAGAGGCCACTCCGGGTCTTTGTCTCTAAACCTCCCGAGAGACTGTCCTGCGTCCCCCTGCTGCTGGACCACCTTCCAGCTGTCCTCTTGCTAAGTCTGAAATGAGGATGGGGCCCTTGGTGGATTGACAGAGGGGACCGTAAAGACCAGAGGAGTTTTCCTGGTTTCACTGGGTTCAATTTTAGTGCAGTAAATACATTTGCCCAAAAGGAAGATTCAAGAAAAAGCCATGTCTTTGGTAGGGATCAAGGTGACATTTTCCACAAATGTTGCATTTATTGGATCCCTTTTCTCCATTTCTACGATTTCACCGAGAAATGAAACATTGTCTAATATTTCCCACTCGTGTGCCCTGAATCCTTCTTTATGAATCTTCCCCATTCTTTTGCCCATCTGCCTCCTAGTGCCAGGCAATTGCCAGCTGAATCCCGCTCTCTCCAGGAAGCTGTTCACTGGAGGGGTGAAAGCTGGCAGGAGACATGGGCTCCTGTCCCCATCGTGCCCACTGCTGTGTGACCTCAGAAAAATTACTCCCCCTCTCGGGGCCTTCATTTCTTTGTCAAAGGAGTGTGATGGCTAGGTATCCTTTTAGCTGTGATACATTAAAGGTGGTTCTGCAGAATGAAATTGGATGGAATTTCTATTGTCACTATCTCTGTCCTACTCCACCTTCACCAATAAACTCCAGGGAGGGTCCTCACACTCCTGGGACTGAATCTAGTCCTTATGCCTAAGAAGGTCAGGGTTGCACATCAAGATAAGTTTGGCACTGGATGCCGTCTAGAAACTTTTAATTGTTTTCTGCCAACATTTTTTTTTTAATTCCTGGAAGACTAAAGTATGGGTTGATGAAAGAGCAAAATAGGGTATATTTGGAGGTTGTATGCATATTATAATAACCATATTAGTTACCTGCTGTTAATAATAGCTGCTGTTTAATAAGCTCTATTATAAGCTGGGACTATAGATCCTATCCTCCCCTTACTCCCTTACAGATGACAGGCTCAGAGAGAGTGAGACCCTTGCTCAAGATCACACAGCTGGTTAATATTGGTAATGGAATTGGTGTTAGTTTCCAAAGATGGTGGTATGCTGCCCACTACCTTGTAATGGGCTTTTTCTTGCATTCAATACCCATCTGGGAGATCCTTCCGACAATGAGACTGAATTAAAGACCCACAGACAGGGGGTCCTAAGTTGATTGTCTGTCTTATAATATCTCAGAGCCAGCCAAATCCTGCTATCAAAAATGACAGGGGTACAAGCAGCTGCACTATCTGCCTGATACCAGGAAGAGTGGAGAACTGGGTCCCTGAAGCAGCCTTTCCAGTGGCCGGCTCCAGTGATCTCCTGTCTACAGGACATACGTTGCCTTTTCTATTCAAATTTGCCCAAGCCCAATTCTGGCACAGAATTGGAACCTCTCAACATTTATAAAGGCCCTAGTCATCTGCTCCAGAGGTTGTGAATGCAAATGGTTCCCAGTCCCGGGCAGATATGAATATATGAAACCACCCAGAGTTGGCACACACACGTCCAGTCTGCAGAGACCACTGAGGCTCTGTCAGGCAGCGAGTGGCTGTGAGCCCAGGCAGGTCTATCCTGAAAGGCAGACTGCTTCATGAAGCCTCTTGGTGTTCACATGCAAATGAATCCAGTCAAGAAAAGCATTCCTGATATGGGAAGGACCACATAAAACTATTTGCAGCTCTATGAGACCTTCAGCCCTTCCAAGTACAATCTCTAAAGGGAATTTTCCTTATTTACAGGTAAGGAAACTATGGCCCACACAAAGTGATTTGCCTGAGATAGCTAAGGCAGGTGTGCAACTCTTTGGATGCAGACATATAGAGAGGTGTGTGTGTGTATTCATACACATATTGTGCACTCACAAATGAAATAGCAACAATGAGCCAGATGTGGTAGCACACGCCTGTAATCCCAGTACCTCAGAAGGCCGAGGCAGGAGGGTAGAGAATTCAAAGCCAGTCTCAGCAATATAGCGAGGCCTTAAGCAATTCAGTGAGACCCTATCTCTAAATAAAATATGAAAATGGGCTGGGGAGGTGGCTCAGTGGTTCAGTGCCCTGGGGTACAATCCCTGGTAACAACAACAAAATAAAAAAAAAGAAAAAGAAAAAGAAATAGCAATGATGTTGGGTTACCTGCCATTAGGAAACATCCTGATCATTCTCTTTATGTTAATATTACATATCATAATTTATCTCAACACACATGCACATCCCCCAAAAGAAGCACCACAGCCGCACCCCAACTGCAAACTCCAACCCCAACTAAAACAAAACCCGGGAAAGGAAGAAGCTCTTGACTTACGGTAAATGACAGAAAAGAAGAAAACAAGGTCCCTTCATCATATCTGGATAATTTTGCCAGGACTCCTTCCAAGATAGTAACGAACTAGTGAAAAAAACAGCAGAAGAGAAAAAAAAATCATTATTTTAAAACATAATTGTTCATGACAAAGAACAATATTTTTCTACCACGTAGAGACTGGGGCTGAGTCCTCGGCTCATTTGGGAATTCTATGACTTGATTCCCACCTTCGGAGAAAAGAAGAGGCTCTGCCTCTACACAGAAATATTTGACTTATCCGGCTTTCTCTTCATTATTATGTGATTGCAAATATAGAGGGTTACAGAAGTGCAAAGTGACAAAATATTATTGCGTTGCGCATAGCGTGCGATAATATTAAATGCACTTTTCAAAATCCAAAACTGTGCAAAGCCGTTTTTACGTTACATATTAGCACTACATTTAATCCAATCTATTTTTATTTGTCTTTTATCAGTAATTTGGGGGAAACAGAAGTTTAGCACTGGCAAATATAAATGTCTTCCCATTCAGTATTACTTAGTTAAAATTCTATAATTCATGAGGGTGACTGAAATAGCTTTATCTGACTTTTATGTTTTATTATGACTCTCACTGAATGTGAAACTAGAGAAAAAGGGGTTTTCATGATGGCAGAATTCCTTATTACCGTTTAACTTTCTGTGTTTAAAAATCTAACTTTGTCAGGGCTGAAAAAACAAACATTTCCCGTATAACCTCATGCAACGTTTGGGGACAAATTCTTATTAAGTTAACATATGCCACTTGATCAATTTATCTTCACTCCGCTTGCAATCATCGGAAAATCATTTGGAGCTGCGGCTGGGTGGTGTGCAATCTTGTTTCCTGAGAGATACAAGTCTCTGGTTCAACTTTTTTTTTTAATTTATTTAATGTGCTACATTTTAATGGAAATGAAGCTATAAACAAAGCCTGATTACAAAGAAGCATTTCACCAGAGGCTGATTACCTTTGCCACCAAGAGTGTTATCATTTCTTTAACCGTTTCTTCGATTAGTTCGTCTATTTTTGAATGGTATTGATGCTAAGGAACACAGAAAAAAAAATTAGCATGTTTGGGATGGCATGACATCCACTGTAATATATATATATATTTATATATATATATATTATATGTGTATATATGTATATATGTATATATATAATATATGTAATATAATAATATAATATAATATATGTAAAATAATTATTTATTTATATAGAGAATTGAACCCAGAGGCACTCAACCACTGAACCACATCCCCCCAGACCTATTTTGTATTTTATTTAGAGATAGGATCTCACGGAGTTGCTTAAAGCCTCACTAAATTGCTGAGGCTGGCTTTGAACTCGCGATCCTCCTGCCTCAGCCTCCTGAGCCCCTGGTCTTACTGCTGTGTGCCCCCTGAGCCCGGCCACCGGTAATTTTAGACCACACAATTTATAAATAAAGCCTGGCCTGCAAATCCAGTTTACTTCGATAGTTCCAGGAACATCTATAAGATTCTGACTCCAGGTCTTTAATGGAGAGAGATTTGAAACTCTTTAAAAGATGACTAGGCTCATTATATCTCACCCAGGGCTGTAGATGTCTCTGATATATGTAGACACACACAGATTTACCAATAACGTACATGGGTGGCTTAACAGCCTGACAGTGTGTGGATCTGGATTTTTCCAAAGCCAGATGCCACAATAATCTAATAAAGGAGATGAAAATTATCTATGGGAAACTGCCGGGGTCGGGGGGGGGGGGCGGGTTGTGGCTTATAGAACTGGATCCATCCAAAGGGAATTTGACCAACACACTGGTTTTCCAAAAATTGTTTTGAAACCTTTAGGTGATTTGGGCTCATGTCACGGAGCTGCCCACTTTTATCTACAGATGTGGAATGTGTGTCCTGGCAACATAACAGTGAACTCTATGGCAAGCGACCCATTTCCTCCATTCAGACCAAGAACTTCTGAGACAGCGGCTGAATTTTTTCAATTTCTCTAACTGTGGCTGTTGATTACATTTAAATAGCAATGGGAAAACAAACCCCCCCCCCCACACACACACACAAAAAAAAATCTACCATACATGCCAGGGAAAAAGGAAAAGCGATTTCAATGCAAAATATGAGATGCCAGCTCCTTGACATTTATTAGATCAATTTACTATCCATTTCAATTATTCTGTCTTTCCTTAACACACACAAAAAAGAAACAATGCAAAACATTGCTATTTGGAAAGGAAAACGCACTTACCCACTCTTTAGCAAACTTTCAGAGGATGATTAATTAGGAACAGAAAAAAACAAAGGAACAATGCAAATGAAAATTAGGACAAGAAGGACATATGAGAAAATAAAAATAATTAAATAAACCATCCAAAATAAAAAAAGAAGCTATGAAAACATACAGATAATAAACCATAGGAATGGGATTTGATATTCTAATAACTGGCAGTCAGAATCACTGAGAATGAATAAAGATATGTGAGGTCTGTTTGCCATTGGAAGACCTGGATAAGTCCCAGTGCCAAGTTGAGAAGTCACATTTCCTACAAAAAACTAGCTCAGTTTCCTTATCTGTAAAAAACAAAGCAAAACAGATAATACCATGACCTAGGACCAATAAGAGGGGGGAGTCCCTCTTCTTACTGATTTTTGGAATGGGAGTGAGAAGACACTGTACCTAGATTTTTAGATCTGTATTTCAAAATATAAGAGAAGATTTTGAAAGTTCCCATCACACACACACACACACACACACACACATATTTAAGGCAGGGGCTATGTTAAATACCCAGATTTGATAATTACATGGTGTATATTCCTATCAAAATTCCCCATGTGCCCCGTAAACATGTACAGTATGTGCCAACCTATCAAGAATAAAATAAAATATAAGAAGAAAGATTCTTAGCCAGTCTGTCCTATTATTCAAAAAATACAGTGCCCAAACCCTTTCCTGGTACTCGGGTTCTTCAACACATAGGTCTGTTTTGAAGACCTAGTGAGGCTCTAGATGTGAAAACATATTGTCAACCGTAATTTCAGCTCAAAAGTTATTATTTGTTCCGTTTGTCACTGATTAGCTGATGAGGTGAGAGGATCTTATCATGTATCACCCTCCTCCTCGTTTTAGTTGATTAGAGGAAAAAACAAAGCCCAAACCCTGTTTGCACAGTCCTGGTGAATCAGAACTGAGGTGGCTCGATTGCTAGATTCAAGAAAGGATTTACTTGTCAGTAGCATAAACCTGAAGCTAAATGCAGAAAACTGATCTGCAGAATTCTGTGCGAGAAACACAAAGAAAGATGTCAGGAGCAAAAGAATTCAGGAATATTGACGGGGCTCCAAATTCATTTTTAGGTCTTTGAGATAAGATCCAGAATCACATCTTGACTTTCCTTCCCCATGTGACTGCTTCACTCTGCTAGGTTTTCTTTGCATTGCTAGAAATGAGTCACATTTATTAAATTAATTATGGGATTTAAAGTAAGCCAGAGAAGCTAGCTGTGTGCAAAATGATACAATATGAAATACTAACTGAGGGGTTTCTAACCAAGCAAAGAACATCATTGAGAATCAAAATATTCTCTTGAGAAACTTGGCTGAAGGGATAAATACAAAGAGAAAGATCTTGGTGTGAGGAGTTAATGATGTCATTCTTCAGCCAAGAGAATCATGCTTTCTGTTCAGGAGCATATGGAGGCAGGTTGGGGACACTGTGATTATGGAAACCTCTCCTACCTTCGATTTTTTTCCATGCCAAACTTGCTCTTTACAGATATTATGCTCTTCAGTTTTCTCCTGTTATAATGGACCTAACTTCTTTCCTTCCTTTCATTTTCCTGCTTGAGAAGTGTCCTGATCTGAGTATTCTGTCTCTTACTTCCAGTGGAAATTTGAATATGGCAATTACTGCTGGGTCTATTTTATTATCTCTGCTACAGAACTAGAATCATCACTGCTATGAATGTAGAAATCAGATTCACCTAATCAAGTCACCAAGCCATATATGGGAATCTGGTTTAGAAACTTCCAAGTACTGTGTGGCAGTGTCATTACTAAGGTCCAACCACTGCTAGTCAGCATGGTGGTTACATGGGTTGGCACACGTCTCAAAACTCATCTAAAATCTATACACGTTATTGTATGCAAATTATATTTTAATTAAAGTAAAATCTACTTTGGGAAGATAGCAGGCCAGGGTATTAATTACTTTGCTAATCAAGTAGCAAAGGGATAAATATCAAAACAGCTCCTATTCCTTTTGGAGCGATTACAAAATGCATGAATCCCTTTTGCCAGATTTTTTATGATATATGATACTTGTTTGGCTGGTTTGCTTTTCTGGAGCAACAGGACTCTGCCTTCAGTCTGCTCTTTCTGGGGAGATACACTGTTCTAGCATAAAGGCATCTTCTAGTTACCATCACTGCTACCAGATTCTCTTGTCACCAAACCCTTGTAATCTGATTGACTGTCCAGTTCTATCTGCATTCTGATAGAAGTCTCTTTCCCATTCTGCCCGTCTGCCTTGTTTATTTGGTATGGGGTTCGGGGGATTGAATCTAGGATGCTTAACCACTGAGCCACATCCCCAGTCCTTTTTATATTTTATTTAGAGACAGGGTCTCGCTTAGTTGCTTAGTACCTTGCTAAGTTGCTGAGGCTGGCTTTGAACTCGAGATCCTCCTGCCTCAGCCTCCTGAGCTGCTGGGATGACAGGCGTGCACCACCACACCAGTTCCATTTCCCCATTTTCCAGCTGTCTCTGCTAGCCTTCTTGGATTCACTTTACTATAACCCTGAATTCTACCCTGGGGCCCTCCATCATGGCGGGAGCTATCAAAGGAACTACAAATTTCCAATAGTGTGGAAAGTTTGCGGAGTTCACTTTTGCTTCCGACAGGCTAAGTTGCTGCAAATTCACAATCACGACGTGAAAAACATTCCACTTGACTTCCTGCGCTGCACATTTTGCCTTGTCATGGAACAGATTGTGTGTATGTTGTCTTTCTGTTAAGACCATCTGACCTTGGAAACGAGACGAAAACACACTAGACCAAGTGAGAAACTATTTAATACACAATTTCCTCTCTATTGGTACTTCACAAATTTTAATGGAAAAATAAATATTTAAGATGGAAAAGTATGGTTAACAAATGTCACAGCAGCTGCCTTTAGATGAGACATTATCCCCATGCAGAAATTCAGGAAGGGATCTTAAAATTGGAGATTACATCACCTTGACAGCTTCTAGTAGTGGAGGGAGACGGAATCTGGGTGGTGGAATCCAGGATCAAAAACTAGATCTCTAATATGGGCTTACTCTCCAGCACTCACAAAATACAAGCTACTTAAAAAATGGGGTTTTCAGCTATTTTTATCCTGATTTTAGGATGTTTTCAGTCATCCTTGGTCAACTGGTTTTAACAAATCAGTTTTATTTTGGAGATGAATATCTCCATTCTGTAAAATGAGGAAAGGAGGAAAGACCATTTTCATGGGATTTCCATCGAAGGTCCAGTCAAAGTCACAGCTATGGCTCCAAATCACTCGGAGGAAGTACAATCTCTTCTTGTTTCCTCCTGTGTATTCTCAGATGCTCGGCTTTCTAAGCTCAGAAGGGACCTTGCTCCTACAAGCTGGTCATTTAGGTATCTCTGATTCCTTTATACTCAGGAGAAATATCATGGTAGGTCTTTCTAATATGGCTATGAAAAACCATATCCTTTGGATAAGAGCCATCGATTATAATGCAGTATTGGATGGACCTTTAATAAAAACATGTAGTCGGTCTCTCTCTCTCCCTTTCTCTCTCTCTTTCTCTGTATTATATTGGAAAAAAAAACCTGAGAAACGCCTCAGTTATTGTTTTCATTAAAAAACATTGAGTAGCTTGGGGGAAAAATACATGTAATCCTTTCTACAGTATCAAATAGAACAATGTCCAGAAAGAGGCATTGGAATGTTCCTATTTGGCTAAACCCAAGACAACTTTCTAGTCTTACATCCAGAAGTTAATATGTACCCCAATTTTTGGGGGGTTATTGGGAATTTAATCCAGGGGCGCTCTATCACTGAGCTACATTTTTATTTTTTCATTTTGAGAAATGAGGCTGGCCTAAAATTTTTTATGTAGCTTGTATTTTGTGAGTGCTGGAGAGTAAGTCCATATTAGAGATCTAGTTTTTGATCCTGGATTCCACCACCCAGATTCCGTCTCCCTCCACTATTAAAAGCTGTCAAGGTGATGTAATCTCCAATTTTAAGATCCCTTCCTGAATTTCCGCATGGGGATAATGTCTCATCTAAAGGCAGCTGCTGTGACATTTATTAACCATACTTTTCCATCTTAAATATTTATTTTTCCATTAAAATGTAAAATGCCCACCCCATCGATTTTTATTTTTTCATTTTGAGAAAGGGTCTCCCTAAGTTGCTTAGGGCCTCACTAAGTTACTGAGGCTGGCCTAACACTTGAGATCCTCCTGCCTCTGCCTCCTAAGTTGCTGGGATGATAGCCATTTACCACCAGGCCTGGCACCTGCTGTATCTTTCATTTGACAGTGGCAGTAGGTCACCAGAGTGAACGACTTTCTCAAGTTCATGCATTTGGTAATTAAGATGAGGGTTCATAGGACAAAGTGATGAAACCACTAGACAATTTGTTCTTCTAGAAAACCAGATTCCAAGGTTAAGCCAAGGTCATTCAACTTTAGCACAGATGTGATTAGTGGTAAAAATGAGAGAAAGGGTGACTTCTTATTTCTTATTAGATATCTCTCACCAGGATCTTTGGTTTGGTCTCTGGAGGGTCATAGCTATCCTGAAATTGGTATGGCAACACTGTGTGTAAGAGTTGCTTTCTTGAGAAATGGCTCCTTAACTTTCACCAGATTCTCAGTGGATCTTAAACAATCTCCTATACCTACTGCTCTTTCCAAGCCCCCAATGCAAAAAGAAAAAGAGTTCAGATCAAAGTCGCTTGATTTGTTTGGAAGAATTGTTTTGCCCTCTGGCCAGATATGTGGGAACTCCTTAAAGAAGGCCATAATTAAATCAACCTGGGCAGGGTCTGAAGCAGCTACTGAGTGGAACAGGAGGCCAGTCTTACTGTATCAAGCCTCTCCTACCCTGCAATCGTGTCATCCGTGTGAAATGCAATTAAGATGCCCACCCTAAAAAGCTCCAAAGGGAAATATATATATATATATATATATATGACTTCATTCAACTTAAAAAAAACTTTCCCCCTTTTTACTTTTTGCTTTAAAAGGAGCTACTAAGAAAGTGGAAAAAATCCACAGAATGGGAGAAAATAGTTGTAAATCATGTACATAATGGTCTAGTATACAAAATACATAAAGAACTCCAATCACTCAACATTAAAAAAAAAAACCCAGTTTAAAAATTTGGCAAAGACTACAAATAGTCATTTCTTCAAAGAAAATAAACAAATGGCCCATAAACAAGTGTAAAGATGTCAAATAGTGCTGAAAGTCAAAACTACAAGAGACACCATGAGACACACAGCAGGATGGCTGTGTTTACTAAGATGTGGATCGGGCACAGTGGCACACACCTGTAATCCCAGTGGCTCGGGAGGCTAAGGCAGGAGGATCGTCAGTTCAAAGTCAGCCTCAGCAAAAGCAAGGCCCTAAGTAACTCAGTGAGACCCTGTCTCTAAATAAAATACAAAATAGGGCTGGGGAGGTGGCTCAGTGGTAGAGTGCCCCCGAGTTCAATTCCTGGTACAAAAAAAAAATCATGTAGAAAAGTTGGATTTCTTGTATGTACATTGCTTGTGAGAATATATGGTATAGCCACTTTAGAAAACAGTTTGGCTCTTCCTTAAAAAGTTAAAAAAGGCTAGGCACACTGGCAAATGCCTGAAATCCCAGCAACTCAGGAGGATGATGCAGGAGGATCATAAGTTAGAGGTTAGTCTCAGCAACTTAGCAAGACTCTGGGCTGGGGATGTGACTCAGTGGTAGAGTGCCCCTGTGTTCAATTCCCAGTACCACACACACACACACACACACACACATACACACACACATTGACCTTATGATCCAGTGATTCTCTTCCTAGATATATACCCAAGACAGCTGAAAACATGAGTTCATAGAAACACCTATGCGTGAACCTTCATAGCAGAATTATTTGTAATAGCTAAAAGTAGAAACAACTCAGATGCCCACTGGCTGATGGATAGATAAACAAATGTGGTATATCTACTCGATGGACTCATAAGTAGGAAGGAACAATACATGCTACAACATGAATGAATTTTTCAAACTTTATGCTAAGTGAAAGAAGCCAGGCACCCAAGGCCACACCTATGAAATGTCCAGAATAGGAAAACCCTTAGAAATAGGCATGTCTATGCAGAGTAGGCTGGTGATTACCTCGGGCTGGGAAGGGAAGGGGTACAGTGATGACTAAATGGGTACTTGGATTCTTTCTGGAATGATGAAAATGTTCCTAAAATTGATGATAGTGATGGCAGTTCAACTTTGTGAATATACTGAACCTGTTGAATTATATACTTTAAAAGGGCAAATTTTATGGGGATTCTATCTCAATTAAATAAAAAGCAGCAGCAACTCCAAGGGAAAAAAGTTCAGGAGGAACAACATTCTGGAAAGTATAAACTGAAAGTTTTTTTTTTTTTTTTTTTGGTACTGAGGATTGAACTCAGGTGAATTCAACCCCTGAGCCATATCCCCAGCCCTATTTTGTATTTTATTTAGAAACAGGGTCTCACTGAATTGCTTTGCGCCTAGTTTTCCTGAGGCTGGCTTTGAACTGGAGATCCTCTTGCCTCAGCCTCCAGAGCCGCAGGGATTAAAGGCATTCGTCAACACACCCGGCTCAAAGGAATTTTAATGAATTTTAGAGATTTCTTGAAACAAGGCTCTGTGAAGCCTGAGAGTGTTGAGGGCCCCCCAGAGAAGCTCAGGTGGGATGTGGGGGTGAAGAGGTAGAGAGGAGTCACCAGCTGGAGTATCCTTTTGTTTCCCCACCTCTCTTTCCTCATCATCCAGAGCAGCTCTATTTTTAGTTTCATAGGCTGGCTGTCTCCATAAGGTTTGAAAAACCAAATTCTGCAGCTAAAAACAAGCTGGCTAAAACTAGAATAGTGCTATCATTTTACAGATGAGGAAACTGAGCCCTAAAGTAGCAGACTGACTTGTCCAACTCCAGTTTGCAGAGCAACCAGGGCAAGAATCTAGGTGGTTGCACATCCAACACAGGCCTTCCCCCAGGGGACTAGTCTAAGTGTCTTAGTCCTTCTTGTGAACTCAATTTTGGAAACTGAGCCTCCAAAACAATGGTTGTCAAAGTGTGGTCTCTGGAACTACAGGATCAGCATGGCCTGGTATCAGGAGCGTGGATTCTTACGTCACACCCCAGACCTTGCAGAAATGCTCCAGATGGGATACAACAATGTGAGTCTTAAGAAGCTCTCTGGATAAGTGTGATGCCCCACGGAATTTGAGAACCATGGCTGGAGATCATTCATATGCAGCAAATAGGGCTGGGAAAGAGAACTATGGCCTCTGCATTTGACTCCAAGGCCTAGAACCTACTCCCTGCGAAAGGCTTGGGAGAATCAGACAGGAGCAGAAGTTAGCAGGGGGTGGCTAAGGAAGCATGCTTGTGGGGGATACAAGGTTGAAGAAAATCTTGCCAGAAAGAGAATACCACCAACCCACATTTAAAAATGGAAGGTACCGAAAGAGAAAATAAATAACAAATAGGGAGCAAATATAATTTAGTAAAAATTCTGAGCATGGAAGGCTGGTATCGAAAGATCTGATTTAGGAGCAATTTATGCCAATTGGCAACAACACACAGTTGCCAGAAATGTTTCTGAATTAATTCTAAATTGGTATATGAATATCTAGCTGGCTTAAGGCCATTGGAGAAAAATGATCATGATATCTCTAATCAAGCCTGAGTTGCTGTTTCCTTCGCCTTTACATTTTAAATACCACTTTGGAGTTGGAAACTTAGCAAAGGACGAAAACTTTTGGTCAGGGAAGATTCACAATCTATGCGAATCTATAGAAAATTGAAAGCCTGCAATTGTTTTGGACATTCAGAACCTGCTGGCTGGGGATTGGATTAGCAGCAAGAGCTAAAGTTATACTCCCGAGGAGTTGCTCGATATAAGAAAGAGCTCTCCTGCTGTCCAGATGTTCCAAGTGCTAACATGCACTTCGAACATGAAAATGACTTGCATGCTGGCAAACGCAGATCTTTTGGAGATACCAGCCTAATAACTAAGGTCATCAAACGTCATTTAGCTTTAAGAAACCTTACGACCACCCTGGCTCCAGTCAAGAATCACTTCCAAGTGACTGGCAATCTCATCAGCACATTGCCTTGGAAATTTACTTGACAGATACTGAACACTCATCCACCACGACTTAATCTACAAATGTTCTGAGTATATTTCTAAAACTATCAGATTAGAGTGGATGGAAGGAATTTGTGAAGTTTTCTTCTACATGATCAATGGAGACAGAAAAAAAATCTGTTTTTTTTTTTTTTTTTTTTTACCTCTTGGCCCATTTCCATACTGCAAAGTTTTGTTGATTGAGCTTTGGCATCAACCATAACATTAAACATGGTGCATATTGACTGTGGGACTCGAAAATCTGTTGATCGACTGGTTTTTTGCAGCTTAACTTCAAATGCAATCCTGGTTCTATTAAAACAAAGTAGGAAAAGACCAATTCAGTGTTCAGATGGCAGCAGGTGGAAGAGACATTTTTTCTGAGAGGCCAGTGAAAAAAGAAAATTGAAGGCTGTAATCAGTTTCAAGCGACAATGACTTCACATGTGTTCTCTTTTAAATGACTTCCCCATCTAAGGAGGGTCTATTCATGGAGACAGCCATGCACACCCTTCCTTTCTCGGCAGTCCACGGAACACCTGTAGCTTGGCGTATTTCTGTCTATAGTTTACATGCTACGGAGAACCCTAATTGCAGGAGAACGAATGAATTAACAAAAACCCGATTATAGCATTATAGCATACGTAAGATCTCTCACATTGGCAATGGCCTACCTTGAATCACTTCATTAAAAAAAAAAACAAAAAAAAAACACAAAAAAGCAGTTTCTAATCTTCAACACCTCACGGTGGAGAGAAATCTTAAGTGACATTTATTGTTTTCTTTCTTGCTGCTTTTGAAAGAGATTGAAAGGGGGGGAAAATCCAGCAAATTTATTGCATTGCTTTAAAGACTGAAAAAAAAAACACCCCCAAAAAACCAAAACAGTTTTTGCTTGTTAAAGGGTCATAAAAAAGGAAATGGATCAAGCCATTAAAGATGGGCTACCTTTGGGGAGGAGAGTGAGATTAGAAGGTGTGGGACTAGGAAATTTCTGTTGTGTGTTTTTGTTTTGTTTTTCAATGTCAATGTATTATTTTCAATAAGAATGTATTTTTCTCATTAAAACCAATAGATTTAAAATACAATGTTATGTTGACTTCACTTGTAAGATATACATAATATACAATTGGAGCATTGTATCATCTAATGTAACCTGATTCTGATGTACATCCAGTTAGGACACCAGCAATATGCTAATTGCTCACAGGAAAATCCTGATCTGATGTGGCTAGTTGGTATTTACAGGCGTGAGATCTAATTCTTGATATCAGCATTGTAAAAAGGCCCAGCTATATTTTAAAAGGTTTCCGGGAATGGTGTCACATTGTTCCATGTCTTTAAAGGAAAGCAAGCGGTTATTGGTGGCTTTAGGAAAGTCCCTTTCATCTAAGGCACCTTATGGGCATTCTTCACTGTCTGGTTCCAGAGCTCACGTAGCCACCAAGAAGGCACTGCTTTAAGAGGGATCTGTGGCAGTTTTCTAACAGTGCTTAGGAGGACCACACAGCTAGTTAGCTCAGGAAAGGATGCCAGTTTGCTATCATACCCCGGGTGCAGGCAGAGAAGCCAAGTATAATTTCTAAGGTTGGAAGCCCAGTTCTTAAGGGGGGAAAAAAAAACTCAACCCAACCCTCCAAACACCCCTATAGATTATATGATCATGTTAAAGATAAACGTATTTTGGCTTCTAAAGACTCAGTACACTGAAGTAGCTTTCTAATCATGATGATCATTTTAAGCTATGCTGAAAATACATCCTCTTCTAGTTTTGTGAAAAAGGAGGCCTGATGGGGAATTGAGTTGGACAGGTCCCTGTGCTGATCTTCCGAGGCTTGTGTGCCAGTTCCGGCCCAATTTGAGAGATGGAAATGCTAAATCGCTCCCTTCCAATGAAGTAATCGTCTTCTGTTTTCACAAGAGAACTGTTCATAGCCCTTGGAGTGTGGGGCTGTGAGAAAAGCAAGATGAATGTAGAATTAATATGACTGAGAGGGCTCTTTGGGACCCAAAAGCCAGGCATGGAGAGTTCACTTAACCCAGCTGGCTTCGTGTTCAGCTCAGACCTGACACAGACTAGGCTCTGAGGCTCTGTAAATGTCTTGTCAGACGGATGCATTCGATTTCTTGGAAGCTCAGACCTGAAGAGTGCCTGCCTGACTTTTTGGCATTGCATATTTACATCTGTGAAACAATATCCTCCCTACACTGTCCGATAGCAGGGGTTATTTTATTCTGTCCCAAAGAGGAACAAGGTGGTTCTAGGTTCTTCTAACACAGATGTTATGAGTTAAAACACCTAAGGGCTTCTCCAGGACTTCCTCTAAAGCTGGAGGTCAAGGGATGATATTTCTACCAGCATTTGCTCTTGGCTGCTTTGTGCCTGTGTTTGGGGCCTGAATTGAAGGAAATTCAGGAGTCCAGGAGCCATACAAGTGTGTTGGCCCAACTTCTGCCAATAAAAGGTGACTTAACTCCTACAATCCTAGCATGCTTCTAGGTCCTGGGGAGAGTGAGGAGATTTGACGGAACCAGGTCCATGCCCTGCCTCTGTTTAAGATGATTATAATGTGATAAGGAATAAAACAGTCCTATCTACCTTTGATATCCTCATATCGTCCCCTTTTCTCTGAGCAAAGGACATAAAGGACTGGCTTCTCAGCAGAGGACATAAATGTCTTTTTGCACAATTGTGTGTACCTAGAGCAGGAGCTGGTAAGTCTTAATTCGAATGCTTTTCAGCCCCTAGGACAGATTGGGGGAGGACTTTTGGCTGTAAAGAACTTTCCTGTAAGATGTTTAATGGTGGATGGGTTCAGCTATCAGAAAAGTATAGCTTTTGTTAAAATGGATATTGATTCTGTAGGAGACGGTGGAATTTGAAACTGTGGGTTTGAGAAATAGGCCTGTCCTTGGGTCTAAAAGTGAGAAGAAAAAAGCAAAGTCCAGGATCTGGATCACCAGGACTATAAGCTTCCAGAAGCAGCATTGAGCACCTGCCCAGATTCTCCAGGGCGCACAGTTCTTCCCCAATTCCCACCAAGAGGCTGTCCACCTACCTGGGGTCATGATGTTCTTTGGCCTTTTTGGTTTCCTGTTTTGATTACTATTACTTCTCTTTTCCTCTTTTCTTCTTCCAAAATATAAGATGATGAATTCGGAGCACTTCCAGGCAAACCCTGCTCCCATCACCCACAACTGATCCATCAACTAAACTACACAACATCTGGAGAGCTGGAGTAGCCTGTGCAGCTTGTATTGTAGTGGTTTTTTTTTTGAATGAGGAAAAATAATGGGACAGTTATGAGTTGGAAAAAGAATTGGGGCTTGGGCCTGTGGCAAGCAGGGTGATGATGATGAGGATGTCAAGTCAGTGGATTTCACGTCTGTACTTGATATTCAGCTATGGATGCTCCATGGGGGAAGGGAGGTGGTCCTTCTTTCGACATGCCTGCTGGGGACTCAGCACTGTGTCTGGCCTACGGGAGGAGCTCAGTTTTTGTTGAAGGCTGCATGTCGTCCTCATTCTCTTCCCCTTACCTTCTTGGAACAGTTGGCTTAGGAACTTCAGGTACAGTGTTCCAAGTCCTACCCTAATCCTACAAGCCACAGTGACAAAACGGGCAATTTGTGGGAAGGTAAAGTGTATGTTTAATGTCTCCTGCCCACTTCCTGATACCCAATCAGATTCTGGCAGAGACAATGAATAGTTATCACACTATAGGTGCTTACTTCACATATACAGAATGATAGACAGGACTGGGTCTAGCCTCACTTTGCTGGAAAATCGCCTGTACCAAATATACTGGATACTCTTGAATTGTATGTTCATTTTTTTCTCTCTCTCTCTGTCTCTTTTGGTACTAGTGATTGAACCCAGGGGTGCCTAACCACTGAGCCACATCCCCAGCCCATTTTAAAATTTAAATAGAGACAGGGTCTCACTGTATTGCTTAGGGACTCGCTAAGTTGCTGAGCCTGGCTTTGAACTTGCGATCTTCCTGCCTCAGCCTCCTAAGCCACTGGGATTACAGGTATGCACCATCATACCCAGCTTGTTCATCTCTTTTTCTTTCCTCTCAACACTCCACCTAGCTACATACATTCATGTATTTAACAAATCTTACTAGGTAAAATATTTTTGTGTGCCAGACACTGCTAGATAATGGGGATACAGAGATGAACAAGAATGAATGTGGTGCTGGGTGCAGTGGTGCATGCCTGTGATCCTAGAGACTCAGGAGGCTAAGGCAGGAGGATCACAAGGTCAAAACCAGCCTCAGCAACTTACAGAGGCCCTATCTCTCTAAAATTAAAAATTTACATTTAAATTTAAAAAATGGGCTGGGGTCTGGGAGTGTGGCTCACGAGTCAAATGCCCTTAGGCTTGATTCCAGATACCAAAAAAAAAAAAAAAAGAACATGTGTATCTTTCCTTCCTGATGGTGATAACCATGATAAAATTGGCAGCCAAGTTATTTTGGGTTTGGGACAGATGGGTGGCAGGTGAATACAAGCTAGATTTGGGTAGTTATCGATCCAGCTGGCTTTTATAAACAATAACTGTCTCCATTAAACTCCAAAACACAGTGAAAGAGAAGACACCATCCTGGTGCCAGTGGACAGTGGCAGAGACATGCTGGATCTATCCAGCCACCTGTGCTTACCTTTTGACACAGGACTCAATCATGTCACTTGCCATCAGTTTCAGCCGCTGTTCCAGATGCTTTCCAAATTCTTCCTCGGGCCAGTGGAGGTCCCGGATGAAGGTTTGAAGGGCATCAAGTTTCCAGAATAGATCTTCTGAGGTGCCTGATCCATTACTAGCAGGACAAGAATTAGAAGACAAGAGTCACCCAGTGAGCCCCAGGCTCTGTAGAAATGAACACAGAGACAACTGACGGGGGGCTAGGAGGCTTTAGGCAAACAGTGGCTTCCACATACAAAACGACGCGTGTTGGCGGTGGAGGTGGGGGCAATCTCCACCGCAGCTTTTGAGTTTTACCATACAGGACCTAGTCATCTTTGCTCTGCCAATTACTCCAGACCAGTGAGACGTCTGAAGAAGGGGTTGGTTCCATAGTAACTAGGAGAATGGCGTATGGTAAAAATCAGCCTTCCTTCAATAACCACATTAACACATGTGATGATTCAGATGAAGGCCACGCACCAGGGGGAGAAGTCAGTTTCCACGGATAATAACTACATGGCAACATGCAGTTATTAAGATTCAGGGTTTCATGCACTTCCCCAGCTGCCCTCCAGAGCGGAGGCTTCTTGGAGATTGCACAAGACTTTTCGGTTTTAGTGCTAACAAAGTGGTGAGCGAGGACCTGCTTTTTCTCTTGAAGAGCTGGAAAGAAACTGGGTGGGGGGCATCAAGACAGGGGGACACCTGGGTACCCCAAACCCAAAATTCGTGTTCAGTTTGATTCTCATTCCAATTTTCACAGACCAGCCTGCTGCACAGGCAGCCCCAGGAGGAGGGGAGTCGGGGCAGGGGAGGTGAGTGGACCGGAGAGATTTGCAATGCTGCAGGGCTCAGAACCTGAGCTCTTTTTTCGGCCATACTGTCTTACCCAGTCCTCTGTACAGATGGGGAAATGGGAGGTGATTCCTTTCTGTCCAATGATGACTAAGGGACTTTTACCTGGGGCATCCACGGAAAGCCTGTGTATAGGAAATGATCCACTCTCATCTTGCCCTTTGCTGGCTTTCTCTTTGGTAACAATCCCTTTTGGAACTCTGAGGGGTGGCCGCCCCCCCTACCCTCTTCCTCGCATACCACTAATGCTAACACGGTAATTTATAAAATGCCCAACACACCATGCATTATCACTTGTTCTGACATCGTCTATAGAAACAGATGAGAGTGGGTGTTTCTATTGTGACAGATGCCAGCTGCATTGAATTAATGCTTCAGAGAGAAATATAGCTAGTGCATAAATGCATACACAGCTACTGCGGGGTGGGGGGGGGGCGGGGCAAACTCCCAACATGCCAGGAGGGAGCCTACGGCCTGGACCGACAGGGTAATGTTTTCAGGACAGACCAGTCTGAGGTCAGTACGTAGATGTTATCTGACACGTAGGAGCAGGTAACATGGAAACACGTCCTTAAAATGAAAGGTGGCAAAAGGAGGAAATTGGAATCATGAAAAGATATGGAATCAGGCATTTCCTGGTGGGTGATAGAGAATCCACGCCTCCTTCTCAGATACTGCTGTAAGCATCGTGCAGAAGAGATGCTTTTGTCTCTCTGCGGAAGTTCAGCCTTTCCCCCCTGTCCCATCCTAGGCCTGGGAAAAAAAGAAACCCCAACTTTGTCTAGTCTAAGCCCCGTTTTGGAACTGCATGGTTTATGTTTTAAATCATTAAGTACATATGAATGCAATAATTGGTATTTATTACAACAACATTTTGACACCCATCTGGTTTCAGAGTTTCAGAAAATTCTCTTAGGGTTTTTTTTTTCTTTGAAGAGCTTATTATTAAGTTTTGACATGAGGAAAAGAATATTTTCTTTTTATTTTTAAGATAAACTGCTAATGTTAAGGCAATAGCACCAAGATTATTTTGGTTGCTAAGCAGTTACCAAAATGTGTTCCCACTCATGCCTTAATTAATTGAATGGAGACCATTATCTGCTTTATTACAATGTCTTGATTCATATCTTTTCAAAAACAGTGTCACAGAGCATGCAGAGAAGAAGGTAAGAGAAGCTCTAAGATATTTACTTTTAAATTTTAAACAGATGCTACCTAATCTAACTTTTAATAGAGTCATCTTAGCATGAATATGATATGTTTTTCTTAGATGATTTTTTTTTTCCTGAGAAATACCTTTTTTTTTTTGGGGGGGGGAGGCTTTAATTTGTTGAACATATGATTTCATTGTGAACTTGAGAGCAATTAGAGGTTTTTAAAAATGTGAGGTAGCTTTGGAGAAGCCAAGCAAGAAGCCCTTTTAATGCCCTGTTCTCTACCTGGAGTCTAAGAACATTAAAAAAAAGCTGACAGCCGTCCTGACGAACGTGATTTCGAGATTTCAAAACATCACTGCCAGTTTCAGATCATTTTTTTTATTCCTTTGATAATAACACTTTCCTTTGAAAACGTGCCAATTTATTCTTTCAAGAAAAAAGCTTATCTGGCCTATAATTAGCTGTGGTCGAAGAAAAGGATCAAAGGAGGGTATAGAATTGCTAAACCTTATTTCACTTATTAAATCATGCACGTGGTTCTAATTTAATTTCCCTGAGGTAGAATTTAGGGGTGCCGGATCTTCTTGCTAAGGAAAAAGGGGAGAGGATTCCTTTCCTCAGCTAGAAGAAATGGCTACTCAATGCTTACTCCCATGAACCACTAGACTTGAGGAAGTAATCCAGGCACCAAGAAAACTCACCTCATCCAGCCCTGATATTAGCAGAGATGAAGGACGACCCTACGTCTCAGACCACAGATGACGTGGCTACCCCAAATTTAATATTGCCTGGTCTGAATCTTGCTTTTTCAAATTTAGAGAACTTCTTGCTACCTAGATCTCAAAAGATCCTTACTGTAACTTGACCTAGGAATGTATCTTTACATAGTATTGACATTACTAGGGCTTGATCCATCAGAAATTTTCATTTAGTCCTGAAGAAACTGTTACTACATTCTGCCATTTGCTGACACCGGAAATATGCTTTGTGGCTTAAACAGTCTCTGGGACTCATAATTATTATTTTAAAAAAATCAAAACTCAGCTTCTAGGGAAGTATGCTTCCCTTTTGAGACTGGGATCAGGCAAGAAATGACTGGCCAGCCTGTCCAATAGGTTTCCTGGACTATTTTTGGGTGACTAACTCCCCAGAATCATGTCACCTGCATGAAAAAAAGGGGGGTAAAATCCTTTCACAAAAGAATTCAGGAAGTGAAACATAGTCCTCAAGTGTTCAGTGGGTGTAAGACAAATTGTTAGTGCTGTATATATAGCAAACGTCTTACAAACATGATGTATGCCAGAAATAAACAATATTGTCTCTGCATGATCAGCAAAATATGTCTAATTATCCATCTCCATCTCTGTTATATAGGATGTATAGAAATAAACAATACATATCCATGCCAAGATCACTTAAATTTAAATTAGATCTAATGTGAACTGAATACACACTCAGCATCATATATAGCAGCCATCCATGACGGTGCCGAAAAAGTAGGCATTTGAGGGATGCCTAGAGGGATGTTAACTGGTAGATTTGGTACTTTGGGAAGGTTCACATTGGGTAGGTTCACATTGGGTAGGTTACTGGTTAAACTCCTGTGGAAGAAACAGACAGAAAGAAAAAAATACCATCACAGTGACAATGCAGATGTGGCAGAAGCACAACAACTGTTGTAAATAAATCGGCTAAGTCCACAGCAAGACAACAGTAAGAACTCAAGCGACACACTTCAGGAAGCAGCTTACGGACGGCAGCTGGGATGTGGCTCGGGATGCAGAGAGAAATGACGCACGTTAATGAAGAAACAAACAGAAAAAAATCAACAGGGAGTGGCTCAGAAGGGCGGGCCCTCGAGGGCCCATGATCACATTGTTTCAATGTCTTCATGAGGGGCCTTCTGTTTCCAAATCCATTGTCAAAAGAGTTCAGAAGAGAACTTGCCTCATACTAAGAACTTGAAGTTCATGGAATTAATTCTTGGCATGGTGGGCAGACCAGGCTGGGGCTGCTGTGAATTAGGTAGAATGGACAGCAAAGGCAGAGGAACAGGTGGAGGGGGTAGGGGAGAGGTTGATTGACAGGTGTCGTGTTAGAGTCTGCTAGGAGGAATAAGCTCTCGTGTTCACGTAGGGTGAACATAATTAATAAGAATGTGTTCAATATCTCAAAATAATTAGAGGAGAGGAATTTGAATGTACTCATCATAGGAAACAAAATCTATAAGGATTGATATGCTAACCACCCAGTTCATCACTACCCAAGGTGCACATGAATCAAAATATCACCTCCTACCTCACATGTATGTATAAATAGTAGGTGTCCATCAAAAAATAAATGATAAATTTAAAACAGAAACAATGGAGCACATTAACTTTCTTAGTCTCATTTATAAGTATTATCCAAAGAGACACACTTTTCGGGTCATGTATTAGATACAAGACAGGATAGAAAGCTCATCCCCTTGAACATACACAAAATGATGATATGCAGAAGTTGAATTCTTTCCAACTGCTATTTCTAAAGCTGGGAAGTATGTGCAACGGGGTGACAGAGTTGATGGCAAAGATGAAGAAATTGTATCAAGAAGGATCAGCTCTGAGTAATTTTATAGAATACTTAAAATGCAAACTTTCTGCCCTCCCCAAACTAAGATAAAGTACAATGGAGAAATGTTTGTATACAGAAATAGACACCTAGGGGAAAAAAAAGAATCCTAAATGCAGGACTCATATCAAATTCTTCGACCAAAAGTGATTTCAAATGTGACTTCATGTCATACATAGTAGGTGCACTTGGATGTGGGATATGTCTGGGAAAGAACCAGGATTACCGGAGAGGCTGGGGATGCTTTATTTCTTTATATGAGTGATTGTTAAATAGATGTGTTCACTGTGTGAAAATTAATCAAGCTACACATTTTTTTCTATAAAAAGTTAACATCAGTTTAAAATGCAGAAAATATTGCTGGACACCATGGCACATGCCTATCATCCCAATGGCTTGGGAGGCTGTGGCAGGAGGATTGCAAGTTCAAAGCCAGCTTCAGCAACTTAGCAAGGCCCTAAAGGAACTCAGTGAGACTCTGTCTCAAAATATAATATAAAAAGGGCAAGGGATGGGGCTTAATGGTTAAACCCCACTGGGTTCAATCCCCAGTTTTAAAGAAATGCTCCAAATATTAAAAATGTAACTTTTTCTCATTTTTTTTCAACAAAGATGGATCGCTAATGTGATAGAAGAAGGATGGGTGGTTTTATGAGTAAAGAGAGAAAATAAAACAAAACAAAACCCTCAACTTGAATCAACTGCCTCTCTCTGGAGAGTCCATGTCACGGACTGTTCCAAAAGCTGGCACTGAACGCCTAGGAGTGGCATTTTAAGGGTGTGCTATCCAGCCAAAGTCACTGGCACGGTAGAGCCCAGCCCAGCTCCGCATCTGAGAGGAGCCTTCCTGTTTAAGTGGAGTTGACAGCACTTTGGCAAAGGAATTGAGGTTCTCTGTTTTGGATCTTGCAGGAGAAGAGCAGGGTTTGCCAACGAAGCTCTGCCCCGGGGAAGCTGTTTGACTAACAGGACTCCTGGAGGGCTGGAGCTGCCTCTGGGGGCTTGCTCAGTGGGGTAAGCCTCTTTCTAAGTCAGAAATTCTGGACCCTTGTAGATCGTTTGGACACCTGATACCCTCCAGAAACAAGTTACTCTTTCACAAGGGTGACATAGCCCTGGCTGTAGAACGAAAACTCTAGAAGGCAAAATTGCCAACCTGGCATCCTCTCCTTGAGTCAGAGGAACAGGTGTCTCCCAGATTTATCTTTTATACTTCTCCTTTTTGGGAAAGCCCACTAAACATCCCTACTTGGAAAGAAAGGGTGGATTTGTGGGGATGGCCTAGAGAAGGTGAGCTAAATATGAGTACTAAGTAGAGGAAGAAAAATGGAACTCTTCCCTCCGTGTGTCTCTGTTTAACTCAGGAATTTGCCTTTGAATTCAGTCCCTGGTGGTTCTCAGTCTTAAACACTGCCATGTAACAAATCCGTTAGCAATTTCCACTGAGACATGTGTAAGCCTATATAAGCAAATGTGATCATTAAATGATACACACACTGAATAATGATCAAGGAATTAGGAGATCCTAGAGATGGCAGCCTGGAAAGTTAAAATGTCAATTCTGAGCAAATTAAAAGTAGCTAGGAATGAATAACATACAAATGTATGCAGAAAAGCAACTTAATTTAAACATATTAGCGGATGGTGGGTACACAAATTAGAAGTGAGCTTCATTTTGCACACGAAAATTAAAAAAAATACTTATATTAATCAAAGCATATTATATTTGTAAAATATGACAGTTTGGCTACCCTCTTGCACTGGGCTCATATAGAGACATTTCCTTCAGGGACATATCATAATGGTCAACTTTTAAAATGATATAACATGCTTGATATTTCTGCCTTAGCAAAATAATAGAGTGTATCAATAATGTTACTAATATTTCATTTGGGTATTAAAAACATATTAATAATCAAAGAGGTGAATTGCAAGCATAATATTTCACTATTATCCATGGGAAAGGGGAGAATGTTCTAGTTGCACTCAGTCCCAATGATCAGGCTCCTGGAGCTGTTGGTGGTTGTAATGAATTATTATGTTTAAAGAGGGCCCTTTATCAATAATCTAAGAGCCAGTTAGTCATGCTTCTCTGTTAAGAATCATAACTTATATGTCACTGGATAGTACAAGATGTGTGAACGGCGATTCTAAAAATGGATACATGTTAAAAATCAGATTCATTGGGGCTGAGGCTGTAGCTCAGTGGTAAAGTGCTTGCCTGGTATGTGTGACATACTGGGTTGAATCCTCAGCACCACATAAAAATAAATAAAGATACTGTATGTTCATCTACAAGTAAATAAATATCTTTTAAAAATCAGATTCATTCATTTTGGGGACCCTGATGAAAAAGGATAACTTTCATTTCATTCCCATCTGTGAAGCATTGGATTAAAAAAGTTCTCATCTACCCTCTCACGTGGATGAATGTTTATAGTTGTGTGTGTGTCTAATCATTTCTACTGATGGGAAGGACCAGAGGTGGAGTCATTCCTTATTTACTGGAATTAATTTTATGCAAGACTACATTTACCTGCAGAGGGGCACAGTGTGTCTTCTGTCTGTGATTTCTGCTTCAGATTTATGGATGGGGTATATTTTAGATACAGAACATGTTCTACTCTTATTCATTTTTTGCATGAATATATGCAGTGTATCTTTTTTTTGGGGGGGGCATCGGGAATTGAACTCAGGGGCACTCAACCACATCCTCAGCCCTTTTTATGTTTTATTTAGAGACAGGATCTTGCTGAGTTGCTTGGGGCCTCACTAAGTTGCTGAGGCTGGCTTTGAACTTGTGATCCTCCCGCCTCAGCCTCCTGAGCCGCTGGGATCACAGGCCTGTGCCACTGCGCCCGGCTATGCAGTGTATCTTGTCTTGTCTTGGTGCACTGGGCATCAAAACTCTCTCAATGTTCTTAGGTTTAATCCTACTTTGGGGGCATGGGCATCCTTTGATATCTTCTCAAGAGTCCATAGTGACATTCATGACCCCCTCCTTCTCCACAGGAATTTAATACCACAGATATACTGTGTATCTGCTTATGTATTGCATGTAAAAGAAACAGGTGTCTCACAAATTTATCCTTTCACTTCTCATTTTTGGGAAAGTCCATTAAACATCACTACTTGGGACTAAAAGGTGGTTTTGTGGGAATGGGCAAGAAAAGGTAAGCTAAATATATGAAAAGACTAACCTACTTTACTATGCTCTGTAAAATGCCAATTTTCACCAGCTTGGGGATTATAAAGCCCCCAACTGAGGATGCAATGCCTACAGAATTAATTTCCAAACTTCATGGGATTTTGGAACCTTTCAAGCCTGTCTCCAAGGCTTGTTTCCTCCTTTCTTTCTTTCTTTTTTTTAAAAATATTTATTTATTTTTTAGTTTTCGGTGGACACAACATCTTTATTTTATTTGTATGTGGTGCTGAGGATTCGAACCCAGCGCCTCGCGCATGTCAGGCGAGCGCGCTACCGCTTGAGCCACACCCCCAGCCCTCCTCCTTTCCATATTGTGATGGCTAAAGGGAACATTCCTCGTTCCCTTTGCAAACTCTGCTTTCTACCCTGTTTCTATTTCATGCTCTTTTCCCAACACCCCTATCCCTTTTGAAATTTTAATCTCCAAGCCATTACCTTCATGGTCTCACAGTTCGCTCCCTCTAATCTATGATCTTGCAATTCTTCCTTATGGTATTTGTACACTGGTAAGTATTTAGTCATTCTTCTGTGTGAATGTTGCCCAGGCTCAAGTAGATTGAAATCTCTGCAATCAGGTGAATGTATCTTTTCTTCTTTCCTATTCTCATCACTTTCCTATTGTTATCTTTACAATCTTCAGCCTGTGTAACTTCTTTCATCAGTATGCCAATTAGTCATGGGGAGTCACTGAGCATAGATTATATACCAGATCCCTGCTCTAGCTGCTAAGGAGATAGTGACAATCTTTTTTTTTTTTTTTGCAGGGGGGATACTAGAGATTGAACTTAGGGGCACTAGACCACTGAGCCACACCCCCAGCCCTATTTTGTATTTTATTTAGAGACAGGGTCTCACTGAGTTGCTGATGACCTCACTATTGCTGAGGCTGGCTTTGAACTCATGATCCTCCTGCCTTAGCCTCCCAAGCTGCTGGGATTACAGGAGTGTGCCACTGTACCAGGCTGAGATCGTGACAATCTAATGTGTAGATGTGTACAGATATGAAGAGGTACATTTGCAGGAATGTGAACATTGGAAGAGCTTGGTTATTCTGTGCTTGTTTTATAAAGGACTGCATGCGTCTCAGCAAAATCAACTGAGGGAGGATCTTGGTGGCCCAACGTCATCTAGTGACACGAGTTCCCATGCCAAATCTGATCCTTGTCAATTTGACACTAGGCCACCTACACGTTGCTAAATTGTCTCTGGTCTGATATTTCTTATGATTAAAATATTGACATCATTAGCAATCTGGAAATGGACATTAAGTTTCAGATTTTTCATATGCATATCTCAGGCAGAAAGGAAAAAAGTGCATTTTGAGAAAAGAGGAACCCAAACTTTACTGTGTGCATAGATCATGAAGCAGCATTTAGATTTACCATTTGAATCCATCCTAACCTAAAATTATAACTATGAAGCCAAGGATTCCTGTGCTTGGAGTGTTCAAGGAGAGACTGAGTGACCACATGTCAGGAAAAGGCACTGGGGATGGGTTGGGGCAGGTGCTAGACTTGGCCAGACTTTGGATGAGGTGCTTTCTGGGATTTCGTCTACCTTCAAGGCCATAAGACCGATCAGCAATGAGCCAACAGCAAAGAGCTGTGGAAATGCTGTACACCTGCTTGTTGGTGGGCTGCCAGAAGAGGTGCAAACCACCTGCCCAACTGTGGGTGGTGATCCTGTGACACATCCTGATGGACACCCCAGAGAGGGCTCCCTTGAGCTGTGGTTAGAAGCTCTGCGGGGGCAGCTTCCACCAATGTGCAGAGATTCCAGCCAGGACTGCATATGGCACAATGAAAATAGATGTAGTCTCTCTTTTCTCTCCTCCCAGAGATGGAAAGACAGCCGCTGGATTTTCAAGAGAAGATGACCATAGGACTTAGTCATTTTACCCTTTCCATCAAATAACATTGGTTGCATTAAGCCCAGATAATTATATCTCCCTTTTCATTTATAGGGCCCTATTTTGAAATGAGGAAATTGGAAGGAAAAATAATACTTTTAACACTGTTTTTTTAGCAAACTCAACACATTGGTAGCATTTTCTGGTCAGAGAGCTGTTTTTCTTTAATGTTTTTGAATACTGGTGATTTCGAAGATAGCTTTTACAATGCCTTTCTCATTTTACCTGTAACCATGACTTCTGAAAAATAGAAGAATAAGAACTATTTGAGGATAGCAATTGTTTGACAGATAGGCTGGTGTGTGTGTGTGTGTGTGTGTGTGTGTGTGTGTGTGTGTGTATTGGAGGATCATGGAGCCCTAACTGAAAGGAATGAGCAAATCTAAATTTACCCAAGTCAGTTTCTTGTTTTTTGGGTGAGCTTGATGAAAAGGATTCCAAAAAAATCATTTTTACCCTTCATCCTCTGCCATTCTACAAAGCCGTCCCACACCTTCCTCATTCTGTTTACAAATCAGCTAATAAAACGTGTTTGGTTTCAAATAATTTTAATTTAGTCTGTGTTTTAGTTGGCCCTTTGAAATCTCTCCACATCCTCTGAAAGGTACGTACTGTTTAGTACAATTTTAGCACAAATTGAACAAACTGAAATCACACTCACTCGCCAACAGCACAGTTTTGGACGGCAAAGACTCCTTAAAATATACACGCGCATCTGCATAATTTCCAGGTGATTAAAATCACAACTCTGATTCCTTTATGAAGCTTCAGATCTTTAAATCATCAATCCACCAACTCCAGTTCTTTTCCTCAGTAAAAAACATCCCCAACAAAATATTCCCAGACTAAGACTTCCAATTGTGAAAACGATTTCAATTCTATCTTTACTTCTGATAGTACTAAAAATATTTAATGCTTCCAAAGGAATAGCAGTCATATGTTTGGCTTTTGAAGAATTTAACAGATTATAAAATGACTTAGGTGACATTATCACAGAGCTCCACGACAATTCTCAGACCCTGGGTAGGGACTGCTTAAAAATTGGTTTTGCAGATGAGAAAACAAATTACTAGAGTTTTGTTCAAGTGCTTGCCTTGGACGATGAGGTCCTAAATCTAAGCCTTTTAAGGAGCAGTGAAAGGTACTGATCATTCCTTCCAAGGTTTGTTGGCATTTATACATTTAAACCCAAATAAGTACATGCTATTTCAAGACCATTTTGTTTTCAAAATGGGGATATTACTCATTTAAATTTTTTATTTTATTTTCACAGCTATTCTCCAAAGCAGAATTGTATTGATTATAGTGAGTGATTAAAACAAAATTAGTGTTGGGCACAATGGTGCACGCCTGTAATCCTAGTGGCTTGGGAGGCTGAGGCAGGAGAATCTCAAGTTCAAAGCCAGCTGCAGCAACTTAGCAAGGCTCTGAGCAACTTAGTGAGACTCTATCTAAAAAAAAAAAAGAAGAAGAAGAAGCAGGGGGTTGGGGATGTGTCTCAGTGGTTAAGCACCCCTGGGCTCAACTCTGGCACAAAAAAAAAAAAAAAAAGAAAGAAAGAAAGAAAAGAAAAAAAATTAGAAGCCTCTCATTAATGCCTTACCATCAAGGGATCCAGTTTCATCCTCATGAGTTAAAAAGGCAACAGGGCCATGTCAAGAGGCCATTATCAACCTAAGGATGATAAGCTAAAATTTAAATTTCTTGGCATTTGCAAATAAAGAGTTACTGCCTATTAAGTTGCTGTCAGTAGAGCAAGCTAGAAATCATTCCTTGTGGCTCAGAGAAAGCTTAATCAGTCATATACAGTGGAATATTAGAGGGAGAATCTTAATTTAGGAAATTGCTTAAAAACAGGTCAAAGATTCCATACTGAGGACAAGCTTCTTGAATATTTATCTGGACTTCCTTTAGGTCACTAGGACACAGTCTAGTCCCACTTTGTTCTATATGGATTGCTATGCCCCAAAGATGTAAAAGGAAACAAAAACAAAACCTAAAATTTGATAGGGAAAAGCCCGAACCAGATTTCACTAGACTTTTGCAAACCACACCACAAACTCTCCACACAGGGGTCTCTATTTACAGACAGGGAAGGCTGGGGCTGAGCCTCTGGCATCCTGGGGGCATAGCCCTCTTCTTGGCTGGGGAATGGAGGTGACACAGACTCTACCAAACACAATCAAATGGGACCTACTATGTGCTAGACAGTGGTGAACATGAACAAACTCAACCCACAGGATGTCCTGTGATTTTTTCCTGCAGGATAGAAAAATCCATTTTAAAATGCAGACTGTGGTCAGGTACATTAAGGAAACTCTGGGTTAATCAGAGGTGAGCAAGATTCTGTGTAACTAGAATCTCAGAGTTGGCAAACTAGCCCGCTTTGTGGCTGTTCAGGATAAGGGTATGGGTGGACGAGTTGGGTAGGTAGTGTTTCCTGAAGTCATCTGGCTGTAGAGTTCTTTTTTGAGGTGTGTCTCAAGGGCCCAACCCAGGAATAGCAAACTATGCCCTGTTGGTATATAAAGTTTAGCGGAACATAGCCACAGTCATCTATAACTATTTTCATGATACAATAGCAAAGTTGAGTAGTTGTGTTGCAGATCATGTGAATCAAGAAGCCTAAATGTTTATTATCTGGCCATTTTTTGTTTGTTTGTTTTGGTACCAGGGACTGAACCCAGGGGTGCTTAGTCACTGAGCCACATCTCCAGCCCTTTGTAATATTTTATTTAGAGACAGGGTCTCACTGAGTTGCTCAGGGCCTCACTAAATTGCTGAGGCTAACTTTGAACTTGAGATCCTTCCCCTCAGCCTCCCGAGCCACTGGAATTACAGGATTAGTCATTAGGACTTTTATAGAAAAAGTTTGTTAACCCTCTGAGAACCCTATGGAACACGCTTTGGGAAACACTAATTGCTTGGGATAACACCATTTGAGGAAGATACACAGTACAAATATCACCGCCAGGTTTATATCACTTCGTCCTTATCAAACTTTGTGCAATAAAACAAAGGTTTCACTTCATAAAACATTTCTCAACCTCTTCCCCCCACCCCATTTGGGCAAGAAAGGTAAGAGAACCATGGTAGGAAATAAATAGAGTGCTTGCTTTCTATTCAGGCTAACAATGAAAATGTCATGTGACACCATCAATCCATTTCTGGATGACTCTCCAGCCATTTGCACCCAAACTCTGATGGTATCAAAAGAGGTTTCCTTACTTGACTGGTTCCCATGACTCCCGCTCAAAGCCCCTGTGAATGGATTGTGCAATTGAGGACTCCATCAAATCCACATATCTAACAACAAGTGGGGCAAACAGGTCTTGCAGGTGTTTGTGGAATTTTCCATTGCACAAATTATCTAGAACAGAGAAGCAAAAGCTTGGTAAGAACCCACAGTTGCTTTATCAAAGTACAGTGTACACACAGAGATGATGGCATTCTATATTAAATACCCTGCTTTTAAGGAACTGGTCCCTGCCAGCCCCCACCCCCCTGCCAAATAAAAGAGGAGGAAAAAAAAAAGAACATGAACAGAAGTTCTTGCTTCAATCTCTTTGGAAGAGAAACGACATTCAAAAATACTTTACTCATTTTGTGTCATTTAAGGAAAAACAATGATGTTCCTTCAAGAAACAACGTAATAGCAATGCATACAATCTTTTTTTTTTGGGGGGGGGGTTACCAGGGATTGAACTCAGGGGCACTCAACTATTGAGCCACATCCCCAGCTGTATTTTGAATTTTATTTAGAGACAGGGTCTCACTGAGTTGCTTAGCACCTCGCTTTTGCTGAGGCTGGTTTTGAACTCGAGATCCTCCTGCCTCAGCCTCCTGAGCTGCTGGGATTACAGGCATGCACCACCATGCCCAGCTAATGCACACCATCTTTTATGTTTACCTAGCTCCCATTCAGTTACCAGGAAGAAAGAACATTCTTTACTCCCTCTCTTCCTCCATCACCCTCTCTAGGCAAGGAAAATCAATTTACAGCTATTATTTCCATAAGGCACATTGTAATTGCTTGCAGTGCTATTGCACCAGAAATCATTTCTGACCGAGAAAGCATCTTCTGATAAACAGTGCCCAAGGTGAAGAGGGTAAGCTAATTCATTTGATCGAGGACAAACAAATCACAAGGCATGGACACCTCTTCTCACACTGCTCTTGGGTTTTTTCTTTGCAGTTAAGAGAGGGCCTCTCTGCCACAGGACACTTTCTGGAAGAAAGGGAAGGTCCCTGAGCTGCGAGATGTGTGCATGTGTGTTTAGGTCACGGGAGCACCATGAAGCTCTCCATCCAACCCATGTTCTCATTGGGGTAAAGATGTCTTAGCAATCTGTTTGTCTGCTCACTACTCCAGAAAGTCAAACAGTCCAAGATGATACATACATTCGGTTCGGAGAAAATCGTTCAGTAGTTGAAACAGCGGAAAACTGTCCCATGTATCTGGGGGTTGCACTTCTAATGCTGCATCCATGTCCACCGCAAAGAGGGACAGGAACGTCTCTGCGTGCTCCACCATTAAGTCCGACCACCATGCGAAGGCCTTTGAAATGTGGCAGAAAAACAATAGACACAAGAGGCGGTGAGTTTCTCTCTCTGATACAAGATGTGATCTGTAGCCCTCGCTGTTCAAGATTGACTATGCATCCAGCAGGGTGTGGTCATTTTTATTGTAAAGAGAACAGCATTTTGGAAACAAATGGGGGCTCTCGGGGTCCAAGGCAGTGCTCCTCGTGATCCCAGGCCTGCCACACGAGAGCCTCTTCTCTGACCTGGAGGTCAGAGGTTGCAGCTGTAGAAATGACAGACGTGGAACTTCTGTTCAATTTACAATAACTCAGTAGGTTTGGAGTCATGCTGTCAATCACCATTGGTGGCTAGTTCTTGCTCTAAAATATTAGAAGAGGGGAGTTTCTTCACTGTGTTTATGGGTTTTCTGCTGGTCTAACTTGAAAATTGGTCATTATTGATCACATTAATCTACATGTCTGGGGCTTCATTTGTCTAGGGTCTCGTACAAACTCAGGGACTCATGTATCCCTACACGTTGGGGATGTTACTTCTATTTCAGGCTAAGTCCAAGGAAACCATTACTGCAATTGTCCACAGAAAGTGTGATTTGAAATCTCTTTCAGCATGGAGGTATTTGGTTTTGCATCCGGTCTGCTGGAAAGATCAGGCTTAAGCTAGGAAACACTGAGTAAAATCAGGACTTCACTTCTCTGGGGGTTGGACATGTATGTACACTGAAAACCAAAAAATATCAGTGAAGTAACTCATTTTCATGCACATGGGCCCTTGGAAAACATTGTGCAGGGTCTTAGGGCAATCATTCACATCAGACTTGGCCAGATGTGAATGCAATTCAAAGGCATGCATGCATGTTGGCTAATCATTTCTGGCAGAGAGCATGCAGAATGTGTGGCGGTGTCAACAGGCCCTGTTTTGCTGATTTCAAAGAGAGCAGAAAAAACAAATTGCCAGCCCCACTAGCCCCCCGCCTCCCCACTCAATGCTGTAAAGTATTTACACTGGAAACACTTTCTGGAGCATTCACACGCCCCTCCCCCCTCCCCCCAAAAAAAGGTGGGAAGGGATTTGAAAACATGAAAGATGATCATGGAAATAATTCCATAAATGGAAGGGTTTGTTCAATGGCCAAGCTCTTCTGTGATCTAGTAGTCATTGGAGGGGATAATCTATCAGCCACTAGGAGGCAGAACAGAGGTCCACCTCTCTTCTTTTGTGAGATTTTACTTTACTTACTTCTCCTTTATCAACATGTGGCTGGTTTGCAAATTAAATGGAAAAAATCAAGTCATGGACCATTCTGCAAGGTTGGCTTGACTGGAAATAGACACCTGCTGTTTCCATTTTAATTTACAGTAAAACCTCACGGATTCAGAGTTATGGCAAAGAGAAATGCTGGTCTGTCAACAAAATTTAGCCTAAAGGGTTGGCGTTTTTAACAGAGATATCATTTAACAGCTTTTGAACATAGTTTGTAATTGGGCACCAAAGTAAATGGTATTCATAAAGTCTACATGGGTTATCATACCCATGTATCACAAATGTGTACTTTAAAAAAATTCTTCTAATAATTGTGGATAATTTAACATATAAATTGAAATTTTAAAAGTGGGGGATTTAATTTCATAGGTTATGGGATAGAAAAACTATGGAAAGTCTCTAACTAGTAAGAAGAGCAGTTAGAATTTCAAGGGCAAGTTTGAGATCATGCCAAAAATTTCACTTAGGAGAAATTAAAAAAGCCACATCTGCAAGAGTATTGTCACAGATTCCAAGCATTTGGGTCTGAACTGATGAGGTTTTATTGTAATTTGACCATCTGGGGTGAGAAACCTGGAGTCTGGGGTTGCTTCTCTAATTACTGACTAAATCCAGCAGAGGAAGAAATCCCCTGCCCACCCCCCAAGCTTTCCCAGCCTTCAGCCTCTTAGGCAGAGACTCTAAATACTGGAACTTGCTGGACTCCCATCCCCACCCTTAACCCTATATGGAGGGCCGACTCTCATCAAATCTGATCCAGGATATTTATAAAATTCACAAAGGTGAGTATTTTTTCTTTTATTGATCAACTACTTCTTCGGGGTGAGCCAAGCAAAGCTGGGTAGACCCGGTTGCTTTTCCAGACACAATGTCAAGAAAAAGAAGGAAAAAAAAAAAAAACAAAAAACCACAAACCAAAAGAAAAACAAACCATAAATATCTGAAGTTAAAAATTTCTTAACCCAATCTCATATTTGGTTTTTACCAGCTTTTATTTAAAAGTTATAGACCAGAGACCATCAGAAACACCACTTTTACCACCTATAATGAATGTAATCCCTTGTTGTAATTTAATATAATGCCAAGCGAGTATCTACAGTCCTTGAAATAATAATCATCTAGATTGGCAACCTTAAAAAGAACAGTAAGTACTGTGGTATGGGTCATCATTATGGAGGTTGGTGGGGGAATTTAAAATTTGAGTGAACCAAGAGAATTTAGATTTGGGACTTGCAGAAGAAGTGAAAAACAAGAGCTATTTCTGTAAGGTAATTCTTTTAAAAACCCTATCATCCAATTTAACTCTCAAGTAAGAGATAAAGATCCTCTCAAGGGCAATAATAACCAAAAAGCCAAAGTGTAATATCGATTCAATGAACAAAGTGTATGTGACTGGTTTGAGGGACGCCTTCAAAAAATAGATGATACATATTTATTTATTTCGTGCCTGTTCCTACAGGTAAATGCTATTTTTGTACATGAGCAAATCTTCAGAGTTTGTGGGGAGCTAATTTGCAATGTTCATGGGTATTTGAAGTCTCAATAAACTTCTTCCAAAGATATTCAGAGTCACATATTGGCTTCTAAATACTTACCCAGTGCTTTTCCCTATTCAAAGACAAAGCTGTGTGCTTTAGGGGTACAGTTCACCACACTGAACACACTTTGTTTTGCACACAAACTAACATGTATATATGTACCCCTCTGTGTACCACAATACATATATACATATACATACGTATACATAGAGAGAGATCAGGAAGAGAAAGCAACAATAAGTGAAAGCATAATTCATATGTGCATTAGGCTTTTCGAACAGAATTTAACTGGAAGAATGAGAGAAATGTGACAATTGTTACCCTAAATGGCATGTATTCACAGTATAGAATGTGTTCTTAGCCAAGGCAATTTTTTTTTTCTCTTGGGACATTTAATTGCTTTATCTTGGAATTAAATATGGCTTAAAGATTGTTAATTTTTATTTGTTTTTGGATGGGGGCAGGTTAATTTCTTTCGTGTAGTACTGCCCAACAGCATGGCTTCATGGTCAAGACCCATGCTTAGGACTTAATGATTTTTTTTAAGGGGAATGATTTTTTTAAGGGGTTTACTGAGCACTCAGAGAAAATGGTAGTGAGTACTGGGCACGAGAAAAAAAAATTCATTCTTTTTGGAAGAAAAACCCTATCTGAGGTGTGCCAGGGAAAATTCCACCTTTCTGCTGCACCTTGGCACTTTCGACCTGGGCTGTGTGCTGGAAACACTTGAGCAGCTTTGAAAAGTGACTGATGCTCCCTAGGATAGGCCAGTTAATGGAGCTGGGGCAAGATCTGGGAATCTGAATTTCCTCAAGCCTCTTAGGTGATGGCAATCAATAAGGGGACAGTGAGAATAAATAGGTGTGTGTGTGTGTGTGTGTGTGTAAGGGGGGGCTTTCAGGACCACTCCACCATGAAAGGACTCCCTCTCCTTTCAACACTTTCTGTCTGTTCTCATTCATCTGGCACTTTCCATATAGGTTTTGTCCTTGGCATGATCAGACAATCATATATTTAACACCACAATAGCCAAGCTTTTACTTGCTGTGTGTCAGGCACAAGGTCAGGTCCTTTGCTTAAAGTAGCCTCTAACAAGGACCACCGTTATCTCCAATTTATGGGATAAGAGAGGTTGAGTAACTAGGTCAAGGTCACAAAGCAAGGAGGAGGCACAGCAGGAGTTCACAGCACAGCTTCTCAGGCACATAGCCTGAGTTCCTGCTACCCTGCATTCTCTCCCTTGAAGGGCAAGGCTCCCTTCTGCCCCTCACAAAGCACCAGGGTACTTGCCTCAGCAGATAGAAGATGCTCCATAGGCAGCTCTGACTGAGTAATAAATAGGATTCTGTGATGGGGAGAAATGACTAATTTGGGAAATAATCCTATACATTGATCTAAAAGAAAATTTGATCTCTGGAAATCCAAAGGGTGTTAAAGTTCTCTTCCCTAACTTCTAAAGGTACTAATAAAAACAGAATTGAATTTATTTGAATTTATTCAAATTTATTGTGTGTATTTGAGCTTGTATTCCTGAATGACTTTTATTTATATATATATTTATTTATTGTTTTTTGGTACTAGGGATTGAACCCAGAGGTGGTTAACTACCTGAGCCACATCCCCAGCCCTTTTAAATATTTTATTTAGAGAGAGGATCTGGCTAAGTTGCTGAGGGATTCACTAAGTTGCTGAGGCTGGCTTTGAACTCGTGATCCTCCTGCCTCAGCCTTCTGAGCCACTGGGATTACAGGTGCCATGGTGCTGGCCCTAAATGGCTTAAATATACAAAGTTAAAATATTTTGTGTTGATGATTAGAGAGGCTAGGTGGGATAATGTTTAGCAGTTAGTGATAAAGCCCTTTTTAGAAATGTGAAAAAGGCCTTCCTTAGAATATAAACTTTCCCTTGGTGGCCCTTTTGAGAGATGTAGAAAAACTCAACATCATTTCTTAGCCTGTAGTAGCCTCAGATAATAACTTGATCATTAATCAAGTGTATCTGTTGTTTTTCTTCTGTTATTCACTTAAAAGCACAGTGGGGACTGAGACAGACTGTCTTCCTTGGGTCCTTGTCTCACAAATGTATGGATCAAGCCTGGACCCCTCAAATCTGGAGAAGGCAGGTGGGAGCTCCCCCCCCTCCCCATGCTTCTGGAGATGATTTTGAAGATACCCAGAAAGAAAACACTTACCACCATTGCTGGAACCCTGAATGCCCCCGATCTAAAAAGACCATCGTGTGTGATAAAGACAAATCCTAACTCGACTCATGGGTCAGGAAGTCAGCCCAGGTGTGCGTGGCTGGAGGTTGTTGATTTGATGTCCCCTGTCACTCACAGCTGAGGGTCCTTGCTAGGTGATGTATGAGTTAATGATTCCCACCTAAGGGGACTGTAGCCCATCCTCAGAGGGGACTTTCGGGGCCATGGTGATTCTTCGGCACTCTCTCTATATATAAATACTGTATATATGACTCACATACAGACAGTCTAGAGGGAGATTAGTATCACTCCGACGAGCTTCTAGTTACTAAGCTTGGGACTCATTTGCTGTAATAAAGGGAAGTACAGACGGACATAGGGAACTACCACAGGCTAAGGACAGAATCAAGGCAGGTGGGAGGCGTGTGTGGGATGTAACTGCAGTCATTGTAGGTATACCAATCGCTTCATGCACGCACAAGAGAATCACCCCACATTTACCCTGCCGTGGAGGGCCACCCATGTCACAAGCAGTCCACTGGAAGTTGCTGTTACATTCCTTGGGTCAGTGTTAGAAAGCAGGAGCACCAGGGGGGAAAGTCCCATTAGAAGACATGGTACTAGAAGGGCATGCACAGAGTATGACAGCAGGTGGCCGGTTCATTCGATTTAGTCACATACCTCTTTCCCCTGCCACGATCAGCCAAGATTGAATAGAACAGTAGAGAAACAGGGAGGAAATTTAAATATGCAATCAGGCATTAGTTGGGCTGGTTGGATTTATGGTGTATTATGTATCTCTTAACTGGTCTGTCAGTTTTCCGTTAGTCATGGGAATGATCCCTTTAGGTGTGTGGGAAATAACTTTTATGGAACACTTTTACCCCTCCCCCTTTTCTGTAAATCTGAATGCAGAAGGAGAATTGGTGTAATTTTAAAAGAGGCTATTTTAAGAGAGACATGATTTTCAAGCTCAAATTTTAAATGAGTACTGCTATTACTATTCATCTTCATAAAATGTAGAAATCACTTCTTGGAGGGTTGGGTTGTTTAAGTCCATATAGGTTTGGGATTTAGTGGGTCTTGAAATCTCTGTTTATCATTATTATCAAAATCATAATATTTATAGTGGTTTGAAAAATAAAAGAGTGAACTGTATTTATCTAGGTGTATATTAGGAAACTGACAAGTTGAACGACACAGAATAATTTGCTTCTGTCACTGCGTTTAACAACCCAGGTGATCTAAAATAAATAAATAAAAAAGAGATCCTAGTACAAGAAGAATAAGTTACAGAGATAGATTCAAAAACATGGCTCTCGATTCACACACCAAAGAACCCTTTGAAACAACAGTGGCGGCCACAAAAAACAACCACAAAAGACCAAAAATAAATAAATAAATAAAAAATAAAAAGAAAGAAAACTAGAATTTGTGTGTTCTGTATAATGGTAACCAAATGTGGCTTGAATAATTCACTTTAAGATGAACTCACCTCATTAGTTTCTTGCTAGAAACATATGAAAACTTAAGGTTGAAATGTATAACCCACAACCACTGCGTGCTTGCTTTAAGCAACTTTCCAAAGTCTTCTCCTTCCAAAACTTCCACTTTGATTCTTTTTGCAAGCCCAGTTAAAAGAAAATGGCAGTTAAGGCATCTGATTCAGGACCTGGTTGGTTGAGTCAGCTCTGTGACCACAGCTAAGGGAAGCTCAGAGACATTTCCCACCGAGCCTGCTCACCTCTGCGTGGTGTTCCTCATTTTGTTGAAGGACTTCAATGACTAGTTCAGCGAGACGTATTGTATCTTCGAGCTTTTTGGCAGGAGTGATTAACCGGCCTACATTTTCTGTAGTACAAGAATTAGTGTTAAAATTCAGCGAACGTGGCAGGCTAGTTGCATGGCCATTAGAACTAGTGGATAAGAAATTTTGAATAGTTACCGACTTTTTAAAAAAAAAGTTTCATGCAAATGTTAAGTGCCATGTAATTAGTAGTGAGCAAACCATAGAACCGTTTTTTATTATTATCACCATCGTTATAATAGGTATTAGGAAAAAGCAGTGCTCCAGCTTCAAATTTGCATAGGAAGCTATATTAAGTCTATGACAGCCCATTTCAAATTTAGTGACATTTTGTACACATGTTCTTTAAAGACAGCATAAAAGCACTATCCTATGTCATTCTCTAGTCTGTGTTCAGGCTACCTGAGGTGGGAAGATGTAATAGAAGCTTAATCTTGATCGCTGCTATGTCTATTTTCTAGAATGGTCATTCAGCATTTAATACTACAGCATATTTTTTTTTTCATTCTAGGTATGTATGTTGGTATTGGGATATTCATTTTGAAAAAGCAGATTTAAAGTTCTGTGTGCTTCAAGGTGTCTAGGGAGGAGATTGAAAAGAAAAAAAAAAACCCAAAACAAAACAAACAAACAAACAAAAAAATAGACATTTCCAGGCTATTATGGAGAAGGCAGAAGAGAATTCTCAAAAAGGATTTTGGAGATAGATTATTACACAAAGTGGTAGTAGTTTGTGCCATTGGTTGCTCTAATTGAAGATTTATCCATTAGATTGCAACAATGTCTTCGTTTTTTGGTTTCTTTTTTGTTTTGTTTTGTTTTAGTTTCTTTTCTGTGCACCACACCTAGCCCAGGAAGAAACTGAAACCATCCCTGGCTTTCCATTGCAGCCTTCAGAGAGCTGTGCTTGGCAATGTTTGGCAAGGCCATGATACTGCCAAAAAATTATCCATATTTTTATTGGAGAAAAGAATCATATTTGAAACATCAAGTGAGACTGAACTTGCAGGGAAATTTGCATTTCCGGCTGAGTCCCTTTCAGACCTTGAAGCCTCAAAGTCATTTAGAACACATGGGGTCCAATGGAAAGAAGTTGTTCAGCAGAATTGCACAGGAGGTATATAGGTTCACAAAAGGACTGCTGAGGGCTGGGGATGTGGCTCAGTGGCAGAGAACTTGCCTAGCTTATGCAAAGCCCTGGGTTCAATCCCAGTACTGCAACAAAACAAAACAAACAAACAAAAAACTTCATAAAAAGGTTCTTTTTTGGGGGGAAGGGGTTGGAGATTAAACAAAATTCTAGATGGCTAATTTATAGTAAAAGTCCTCATAACTTCCTTTTGTGTATTTCTTATCATATCATTAGTAAGTTAGGATTTCCTAATGAAAAATAAATTTGGTGAAAAGAATGCAAAAAGAACGTTGGAGTCCCTGGGGGCCAAGACTGGAGAAGAGGATTGGGTAAGACTGTCCAATCAGGCCTGGTGGCTGGCATGACAAGGGCTTTCAGGGCACTGGAATCTCCATTGTCTCCGCCATGCCCAGGTGGAAATGTGGCTGGATCTGGTTGGAGCATGAAGAGGGGAGTTCTGGGGGAACATCAGACATGTGTCAGATGGAGAAAGGCCAACAGCCAGTGAGGAGATGTGGAAGTTGAGTGTTGACAGCTCTTGCCTGGTCCAGAGCAAGAAATACTCAGAGAAAGATTGACTGGTGCTTTTGGGGCCCCTGATCTGTTTGTAATTTTATAAGGAGACTATCATAATTTCATTAATAGGCTTTCAGGCATTTCTACAAACATACTGCGTATATATGTTTGAGTAATATGTGTAGAGTGAGGTATTTGCATTTTGATAGTAAATATGCATAGGCTACTATTTTTTATTAGTTGATACTCACATTTACACATCAATTTGCAAATTCCTCATCCTATACTTATTACCCATTTGACACATACACCCACATACATACATCACACACTTACATACATTTTCTAGAAACCAGACAAGCCTGCACATTAATACAAATCTGCAGGAAATTCCACTGGGACACATCTTTGAGATCTCTCACTTTAAAAACAGAGAGCATTTTCCTTTTGGATGGAATACTCACCAAATCTAAGGGGATTCTTGCTGTATCTAACATACAATGCAGAAATGAAAAAATAAATTTAAAAAGCGTGAATAATTTTTTATGTTTGGAGAAATCCAAGATGCTTAAGATAGGACCACCTGAAGATTTGTTTTAATATGCGGTACTTTTAGATTGACTACAATATAGAAATCCATAGATACACATAAAGTGTGCATGTGCACACAGGCTTTCTAAGAGTGTGTGCACATGTACCAGATATGTGTATGCCTGATGTATATATACAGACAGTATGTTTAATAAAACCTTTTTCAATTTTACTTGAACATGCAACCATTCAAGTGAGTTGGTTAAGAATCTTTTAATCTAGAACACTTAATCTGCCAATTCACCCATTTAGCCAGACTTTCGTTGACCATCAATTAATTATGGTTCCATTATCTGTAGATCAAGCCATTTGAGTGAGACATAGTACTATTTTCCTGTTCATTTGCATAGCTGATTTACTAGCTAAATGGCAAGGAGGCAAAAAAAAAAAAAAGACTAGACATGATTTCTCTGAGATGTTGTCTTTAAAGAAAATATTGTGTAAAATCCTTCAGCGCTCCCCCCCCCACCCAGAGGTCAAGGAAAAGTTTGTGCTTAGAAATGATTTTTTTTTTTTTTTGCATCACTTCTGCTGTCTTGAAATGTACTGCAATATTCCTGTCCCCCAATCTTGCACTAGCTGGAGCACTGACAAAAGAGAACTAAAAATACAGTATACTTAGGAAACATTTCATACAACAGAATTGAAGCTCATAACATATAAAAAATTGTCATGCAAAATGTTATGCAACAACAATGTTATTTTGTGCTGACATTGAGATTTGAAAATGTTGCATATGTCAGACAGAGCTAGACAAAAAAAAATGTGGACATTTGGAAATAAATGCTCTCTTTGAGTATCTCAAAACCTACAGCATTAAACTCGAGAGCCCAAGCCTCAGCTTAGTATTCCAAACTGAAACAAAATTTCAAGAAGGGAAAGTGAACAGAAAAGCCAACTAAACTAGAAAGCTGCCGAGTACAGGAACAATAGAAGTTTACAGTACTTGATGTTGGCCTAGGCATGCCTTTGAGCCTCTGATATAACATGCTGGTCTGCGTTTGGGTGGGTGGAGGAGGAGGAGGCCCAGGAGGTGGCGGGGGACCTGCTCAGGTAGGTGAAGAGAGGCGGTAAAAAAAAAAAAAAGAAAAGAAAAAAAAAGTAAAAGAGACAAAGTGACTTTGACAAAGGATGACAAACTCTGAAAAGAACAACCCAACAAATGATCAAACACAAATGGAGAGCTGATACTTTCTCGGCATTACTTGAACGTGTGACAGAGGCGTGACATTATTTGACAGACTCTTACCAGCGTCTCTGGTACCACCCCTACTGAGACACCCACAGCAAATACTGGATGCCTCATCTAGATGGATGTGTATGAATGATGATGGCAACATCATTGACCCAAAGAAGAGATGCTTTTGTACCATGAAGAACGCTTATGTACCAATAGCGGCTTCTTCCATTCAGGTGACCAGGTAACAGGACATGATGTCTGAATAGTTGGAAGATTTGGTTCCTCAACCCCCATAGGCTACCTACCGGCTTTCCAGGTAACCTTGCACCTGCTACTTAGTTTAGTTTCCTCACCTATAAATTCCAAGTATTCATGTCTTTTCGGTGTCCCTTGCAGGCATGGGAGAGATCTAAAGTCTAAGGTGCCTCCAAATGTTTATTTGTTACCTCCACATTGTGAGAAGGCTGGAATTAATTGCTTTGCCAAAGCAGACGAAGGGCCGTTATTAGTTCAAGTTAGCTGGGAAATATTCTTGCTCCCTTTGTGGAATTTCAACATGTCAAAATCTGTCATTTTGGGGGAAAATGTGTGGTATCTGATTGTTTCCAGCTCATTTAATTATTTTTAATTTGGAATTCTCGTGGCTTTTATATTGTGGGTTGAATCATATATAAAAACTTGCCAGCTTATCAAATATGTTACTTGCTATTCCAAATGTTAGAATACCGTAATCAGCACTTGACCCATCTGTCATGTGGTTTACAATATCGGCACTGCAAACATCCTGTAACAATAGCCTCTCCTTCCATATAGGCACAGTGTACCGATGGCGTCCACTGTTCTCTCTCCATAATGAGTGTCTCATTAACCTTGGACCCGCTCCTTTCTGCTAGCTCTGGTTTACAAAGCAATCTGTACAGCGAGGGGGACATACTCTGTTGCCAAGTTTGCTTCTTGGTTTGCGTGAATTTTCAATTGGGAAAATGAATTTTACGGCAGGCGTATAGGAAGTGGAATTCTAGTGACATTAATAGGAAAGGAAAAAAGAGTGGGGGATATGGATAACTATAATATTCTGGCAATATCATCTATTAAAAGCAAGACTCCATGGGATCCTTTTCTTGCTGGACCACCTCGATGTTTGGTATATAGGACCAAAAAGTATCTTTACCCATTTCTTCTTACTTAAATTGTTTAGGGGAAAAAATGGGTGTCCATAGAATTTAGGAAAAAAAGTCAACTTTAAATGATATCTATTTAAAGGCAGGCAATGACCGTTCCTTTTATTGTTAAAAGAGAAAGTAGTCCATATCTTATATTTTGCTGACAGCACTGCCTTGAAGTTAGGTACATCTCTGTCACATATACTTGTGGCTCTTGCAATAAATGCTTGTTACCTGAGTGTGTAATTCTCATGGAAACTTCCTACCTATTCTCACCCAGGTAACTGAATGGGTGTATCAAACTACTTGATCCAGGGGTTAAGGAAACAATGAAGCATCCCTAGGGTTGATCCATAATCCGAGAAGTAGCAGATACGTATTTTAGCTCAGTGGGTCTTGATGAGAAATTCATAAACGGATTCCTTCCTGCCAAATGTCTGTCCAGAATTCTGACAGTGAGGT